GGGGTGGGGAGGGTGAGCGAGCGGCTGTGCGATATTTAGTGCCAGCTGGGTTTAACCACGACACGTAGCTGTGTGTTACATTGTGTGTTGATAAAGAAGGAGCGTTGAAGAGCAGGAACTTCTTACAGTTGCATTGAACGCCACATCTGTGAAGGAGGATTAAAAAAAAGAAAATGCTGTCCTTGCTTCCTCGAGTTATGAATTGGTGCAAACTTTATAAGTAGATCCCATTTCTCCTGTGGTCTTTGTGCAGTGTATCTTGTAACAGCTATGATAGCCTTTAGGAAAAGACCATAGTAATGTCATTAACTTCATTCATCCTTAATGATGTTTAACTGCACAGAGATGACACCATGCCTGACTTTGGGCTTTTCATTATATCATCTTTTCTGCTTGCCCGTCTGCAAATAGTGGACCTGGTGATAATGCTCTTTTTCTCTGTATTTATTGGTTTGTTTGCAGAATCTAAAGTCATGCTTTCTTTTTTTTTTTTTAATTGCTAACCGAGTTTTCCTTTTTGGCTGCAGTAGATAATCGTAAAAAGGACATAGTTTCTATTCTTATGGTAGAGGATTTAAAAGCAGAAATGCATTTATTTGGTAAACTGAGGAGGAGATGCATCCAAGAGCTTAAAGTAATTTATGTTTGTATTGTATGAGTTAACACTTGACATTATTTTCTCAGTGACTTAGTACTATTTTAAGCCAAAGTTGAACTAGTTCCTTCTCTCCTCTTTTCCCTCTTGTCTAGGTGTTTGCTACCAAACTGACTTACCCTCAGCCAGTCACTCCCTGGAATGTCAAAGAGCTGAGGCAGGCTGTCATAAATGGCCCAAAGGTTCACCCTGGGGCCTCCATGGTTATTAATGAAGATGGATCTCGTACAGTGTTGAGTGCAAGCAGCCTAACCCAGAGAGAAGCCATAGCTAAGCAGCTCCTCACTCCTTCTTCAGGCGCACCTCAGTCGGGACTGAAGATTGTGAGTATGGCAAAGGGCTTGTCAGAGCCCTCCTACATGTTTGGTGGGTTTTTTAAATAATAATAATAATATCGCCCTTCCTAATGAATCCAATGGGCCTGCGCATAAAGATTCCCAGGGCAGGGTTGTCCTGTCTTTCGGTAGGTGGCTGAGAAAAGGTTGGGGGGAATGTGGGAAGAAAAGCTTGATACTTTTCCAAATTCTGGAAAACATTTTTCCATCCTGAATTTCATTCTTCTCTTAATGTGCAGTGTGTGGTGTTCATCTTGCTGAGATGCAGAGTAGTCTTCCTTTTGCAGCTGGCTATTCCTGGGAAGTCTTTGCAGTATGGAAGATAAAATACTGCTTTCATTTGATGCTTTTATGTCCCCCTGCCTCCCCTCCCTTCTTAGCCAATTCTATGTTTTTTTTCCTCTCCTTTTCTGTATCTGGAGCAGTTCTTTAGTGGTAGTTCTGAAGACTGAAATTCGATACGCTTCTAAAGTAGGTGCAGCACAAGCAGTTGATGGGACCCGTCTTCCAGGAGTGTGGTGACCATGAGTACGTACGAGTAGAGTCCTGCGTTCTGTGTCAGCCATGCTGGTAGTGGCACCAACCAGGGGAGGAGTGATCTGTGTTTTAGCACTGACTGCTGTAACCTGGCGTCCATCTCCCCATCACCATCTCGTTTTATAGATGACAAAACAAGGAACAACCACAGTGATAGCCTTCTGTTTGTGCAGACATTAACATTTGTGAAACGCTTAATGCTTCTATCAGTTGTTTCTTTGGAGGTGCTGGAGGGTTTGAGTTCTCTGTGCTACAGCTTAACCTTTGAAACTTCTGAATAACTTTATCTCCCCCTCTTGCAAGAGTTGAAAACTTACTATTTAGTAAAGTTTTGATGATGATGAACAGTCTTTTCACAATATCTGTTATGCATACAGCTGTCTCTATCAGAGGCGTGATACAGATTTAGTATTTAAGACTGAGTATTTCTGTGATGTCAGTTCTCCCAGAACCTCTCACAGAGATGAACATGTGAGTGTTCAGACTGTGCAAACAGCTTATCATCCTCCTGTTGATAATCACTGAAATGGATATATTGTAGCATGGGTGTTACTGACAGAGAAATTAAAATGAGACTGTGTTCTAGAGCAGAGTGTTGTACTCAGACCTGAACTCAGAGGTGCCTGGCTTCTGCTGCAGCTACTAGGTCATATCACACTATTCTGGGATGTCCAGTGCTGATTTTATGGTGACAGGTATTATCATTCAGCCCAATGGGCTTTGGGTAAATAGTTTTTCTCATTTACAAATGGCATAGTTTCCTTTCTTTTTCAGTCTTTGATCCCTGTATTGCCAAGGGAGAGGAGAGATTGGTAGAGCATGGCTTGCATACTGTTAACTTGGTTTGTTCACTGTGGTTTGTGGTAGTGGAGGAGATGCAGCCTCAGAGTGTGGTTTGGTGGAGAGCAGAGGGTGTTCAGGGGCAAGTAGTCTCGATTCGCTTACAAAGTTCTGTGCAGAATGTTAATACTAGAAAGAAAAGGTTTTACATGGTGTATATTTTAAGATGCAGTCTTTTCAGAGATGCCTTTTTCAGAGGCATGGAAATGCCTTATAGGCAGCAACCAAAATTCTCTTGCAGGTATGTCGACATATTAAGAATGGAGATGTCCTTTTACTGAACCGCCAGCCCACTCTTCATAGACCCTCCATCCAAGCTCACCGGGCCCGAATCCTGCCTGGAGAAAAAGTGCTGAGGCTTCACTATGCCAACTGCAAGGCTTACAATGCTGATTTTGATGGTGATGAAATGAATGCCCATTTTCCACAGAGTGAGCTGGGTAGGGCAGAAGCCTACACCTTAGCCTTTACTGATGAACAGTATCTAGTTCCAAAGGCAAGTAAAATGGTCAGATAAATTTATTCCTTTGCATCATTTGAGATTTTTTTTTTTGTCTAATGATAAATGAGATCAATTTATTTGTTATTACTTTTTATTATTATTGTTATTTTTATTCTCGTTTCCTTTTCTGTCTCCACTTGATGCCAGTCTTGCTCTTTACCTCAACAGATTGTTGTTGTTCAGGCCTTGTTGCTTGCTTCTCATCTCCCCAGTCCCAGTTGTTCTCTTCTAGAGAGAGCCCATCACATCCAAACAATCGTGTCCATTTAATGTCAATGTCCAGAAGAGATTATTAGTAGAGTTGTACTGTGATGAAGAGTTCTTTACAAATTACTTTGGTGTGTTTATCCAGCTGGTCTAATTCTGGGACCTACTAGCACATGTCTTATTCTCCCCTGCCTTTTTCTTGTTATGTCTTTAGGATGGGAAGCCACTTCCTGGATTGATCCAGGATCACATGATTTCTGGAGTCAGCATGACAATCCGGGGCTGCTTTTTCACCAGAGAGCAATATATGGAGCTTGTTTACCGAGGACTAACAGACAAAAAAGGAAGAATTAAAATCTTTCCTCCTGCCATTATGAAACCACAGCCATTATGGACAGGAAAGCAGGTAGTTTATAATTTATTGGGCTAAAAATTGCTAGTCGTTCCAAAGTAAGCAGAATGCTAATGTTAAAACCAGCGCTGCTGAGGGCTGCTGAAAAGCCAGAGCCCATCATCTAATCAACACTGTGTAGATCTTGGTGTGTTATTGGAGCTGTGGGAGTCGTCTTTCATTTAAAATGACAGTGTTAGGATAGTACTTCTGCTTGCTGCTCTCAACGGTGTTGCAGATAGAAGTATAACGCTGCATCTTGCAGGCATGGGAGCAGAGGACTTTGTTGATCATAGTAAACTAGGTTACGCCAATCAGTGCGTTCAAACCTCTGAAAATATATTTATTTACAAATATTCTGTGATTTGACTTTTTGCTTGAGTTCATCATTAGGTTGATGTAATATCTGGGAAGCCCAAGCGAATGCTCCATTTTCTACTATTTAAGAGAGTTTAACATTCAATCCAAGTCTCATGGCAGAGTAGGGGAATTTCTCTGCCAGTTTGTCCTGGCAGACAGGAAGCCCAATAGACAACTTTTTTTTTTTTTTAAAAATATATATATACACACACACATATGTATTGAAAAAATCATTGGTGCCATATGTTTCTGAATAATTATGCGTCTTAGCTCATTGTTCTTTCAAAGGCTAGAGTAGCAGGAGGATGTTAATTTCTTGTAAACTTCAGATTTCTGAGCTTTTAAAGCTTTACTGTCAGTGGAAAAAATACGTATAAGATGTTGCTTATCTCCTCTGTGCCAAATTCTTTACAGTGAGAAGGGAATATAGGATATAATTCGTTCCTGCCACTCTTCCTGCTTCTTTATAGGTTGTTTCTACCTTGTTAATAAACATCATTCCAGAAAAGTATGTCCCACTGAATTTGACTGGGAAAGCTAAGATTGGTGGAAGAGCCTGGGTAAAGGCACCTGCAAACAGATGTCTAAATCTTGATTCCATGTGTGAATCTCAGGTATGCTGGGGCAGCAACTCTGGAGGCTGGGCTGGGATGTATTGTAATAAAATTGTGTATAGAGTAGAGGAATGGGAAGGGAAGCAGGGGGATGACAAAGTTAAAAATAGATATTGAGCAACAGTTACTGCCAGAAGGTAATGATTAGAGGATAGGCCTAGGGGTCAGGAAAAACTCTGTTCTGATGCTGACTGATACAGGTTCCATCTGTTTTTCTTAGACCATATGTCTTCATTGTTTGACTTTAGAGGTGGGAAAAACACAGATAGTGTTAGAAGTTTTATTTCTGCTGTAAATTCTGAAAGTACAGATAATCTGACCATATTTAACTCTTCACCTATATGTGGCCTTTTAAAACATCTTACTTAAACCGATTTTCATGTAGATTATACAGAAAAACCTGTAGAGATCATAATGAGATCAAAATTTCTGTTTTCCTGGATACCTGTGTTTTATTTTTTAGGTTATTATTAGAAATGGGGAATTACTGTGTGGTGTCTTGGACAAAGCTCACTTTGGCAGCTCTGCCTACGGCCTGGTCCACTGTTGCTATGAAATCTATGGGGGTGAAACTAGTGGGAAAGTGCTAACGTGTCTAGGACGCCTCTTTACTGCTTATCTTCAGCTCTACAGAGGATTTACGATGGGTGAGTAACACAAGGACTAAGTAACCAGTGCTGTAGTGCAGCACCTCCAGAGATAGAAAACAGACGTTGTTGGGCATAATACATGCTAAGAGTTCTGTAAATAACCTTTCACAAGACTGTCCTTGAGTGGGATAGCTGTTTGCCAACTTGTTTTTTGGTGTGGTGTTTTTTTTTTTTCCTGGTTGATGCAGAGCTGGCATTTTAAGCAGAAAGTATAATCTTGAGTATGTGCATCAAGTTCTCTCTTCTGTGCTGCCTGGTCAAAGCGTACACAGTCTAAATGTGTTGAAATTTTGGTTAGATCAAAACCTCCTATGAGCCTTTGTTATTTTACTTGTCTGAAAAAGAATTGTTGTGTAGAAACCAGAACAGCCGATAAAGCGAGACGGAAGAACTTTGAGGGGTTATTAATCAAGTCTTTGCGTATCACAGTTCTACTGTCGATCTTTTGGTAAAAGTTTGACTTTCATTACAGCTTTGCAAACTCATACGAAAGTGCATTTGGCACGCAATGAAAATTTGACCCTTACTGTACGTGCTATTCTTACAGTAGTTGAAATATTTCCAATTGCCATGTAGAGCTTTACAAGGTGTTTTTATACTAATGAAATACTTAAACTCTCCTGCTGCTATATGCTGTAAGTTGGCTGTTATCTGAAGGCACAATATCATCACTTAGAGTTAGGTAGACACCATTGACTGGTAGACAGACAGCACTAGTGAGGAACCAACAGACTGCTGTGAGCCAAGAAAAAGGGAGGCAGGTCTGTTAAAGTGAGGAAGATGATTAATGGACTGTAAGACACAGAAAATATGTCTTGAGAGCCAGGGAGCAAAAACTAATTAGACAAAGATAACGAACCTGGGATCTCTAGATAGTTAAAACATCAGAAAAAGAGAAGTGGGACTGGAGCAGAGTCTGGGATTTGATGAAGATGAGGTGATTCAGGACTGAGTAAAATGAGACTTTGAGATGAGATAAGATTCAGGAGAAGGAGACAAAGTAGAAAAGACAAAGTTGTAATGGGAAAAGGAAAGTGGGGCTGAACGGAAAGAGTGAGGACAGAGGGACATACCATGTGACCATGGGCTCCTTTGCCTTGTAAATGTGTGCGTAACTCACTAGTGAAGTGTCCCACTTCTCCCCTAGAACTGCTGTACATGTAGCCTGGGAGGAACGTCTGGATGTGACCTAACACAGCTCCCTGCTCAGAACAAGTCCTGCCAGATGAGCTTGTGCAAGGCTGTGTCCAGTCAAGTTGTGAATATCTCTAGGGATGGTGATTATACAACCTTTCTGGGTCCCTGTGCTCACATTTGATCGTATACATTGTCAAAATCTTTTTCCTCTTGAAGAAAGTGTTGTTTCCTTGTATCTCTAAAGGCCAAAGAAACACATCTTTCAGCCTCTCCTCATCCATCATGTGCTCCAGCCGTTTTAGTGACTTTTGCAGGACTTCATACAAATAGCATCCAGGAAGGAGTTAGGGTTCCAACCTTTGATTTGTTCTGAATTGTTGCTCTCCTGGTCCTGTCATCATAAGGCTCTGTGTTTTTAGTTTACCTTTTTAAAACTAGGAAACGACACATGCTCCAAAGGTCAGCTAATAGGAACTTGGAAGAGGATGGAAGAGAAAAAAGTTTGATGTGGTTGGCCTGTCACATGTTTGTTTGTGTGCAAGTACACCAATTCAACAGTATCTATAAAAATCTGAAGTTAAGAATTCTTAAGTCTGGGAGTTGATTTTGCACTCTTAATGCTTAGCTTAGCTGATGTTGCGTGTTTTGTTGACAGCCTATGTCTTCTCCCTCAAAAAGACACTCAGAATTTTTTTTTTCCTTGTCAAACTGCAATTAGCCTGATTTTAACAATTAATTGTGACTTTCTCTTCTAGCTCTTTGCTCTCAAAATCCCTGACACCAAATATGGTTCCTTCCTTGATTCTTTTTCAGTTTAGATCATTACGTGCTCTGTCTCTCTTCTTTTACAGGGATTGAAGATATTTTGGTTAAACCTGAAGCAGACCACAAAAGACAAAAAATCATTGAAAAGTCACGCCAGTGTGGTATTGAAGTAAGTCTGTCTTGCAGAATTTTTTTTCCCTCCATAATTAAACATTTTGAAATCCTGCCCTGTTTATTCGTGTCTGCTTAGCACCTAAAAAAACCCATATTTTACTTTCAGGCTGTTAGAGCTGCTCTTAATTTGCCAGAAACAGCGTCACGCGAGGAGGTCCAAGGGAAATGGCAGGATGCCCACCTCTGCAAAGACCAGAGGGATTTTAACATGGTTGATCTGAAATTCAAGGAGGAAGTAAACAATTACAACAATGAAGTTAACAAGGTTGGCATTGGGGCGTCTGTGTATGCTAATCTTGTTTGGAGACTTTCTTATTAAGTTAATTTAATGTTGATGAGGGCTGCCTGACTGTTCTGGAGGCTGAAGCTTTCCATCTGGCCTCAGCATGAGGCTTCACATACTGCCTTGCCAGTGCACATCAGCCTTGTCCTCTCTGAATGAGAGGATGGCATAATATTCAAGATACTTTTAAGATTATAAATAGGAATGTTCATGGTTAGTCATCCTTTCAGTTTTTTAAAACTTTCAGCTGAAAGTGCTTTGGTTTATTAATAATGGTTTTGTTTTGTTCCCTTCACCCTATTGCAACTCTTTAGGTTTGTATGCCCCTTGGTCTCCACAGGAGTTTTCCAGAGAACAATTTGCAGTTGATGGTACAGTCAGGAGCCAAAGGATCCACTGTAAATACAATGCAGGTAATGGCAGCTAGAATACTTAACAGCTAAACGTGTTGAGGTTATTTGTCCTAGAATGTAAGCTATTGAGAAGCTTTTGTATGGATATCTAATACCAAAGCAGGATTTTTATTCCAGACTCTGGAAATGGAGGCCTTTGGCATGGAAAAATTTTAGGAGAATACAATAAAGACCTCAGTGGGTGATGGAGGAGAGTTGATGTTTATAATAACCTTCTATTTTTGAAGCAGTTCTCAGTACATTAGGATTTATAGAAACAGCAGACCTTCTTTTTAGAGGGAATGCTGCAGATTATACAAAGAAACCTACTATAGGAGAAAGGCCAGGAAATGTTCTCTGTTGGAGACTGACCCCTCTGTTTCCTTCTTCCACTACTGAATAGGAACAATTAAATCTTTGATTTTGGTGGAAATGGCAAGGGTGCTTTTTCATTTTGCCTTCTGCAATACGGACACCAAGCAATAAACACTATATAAACAGGTCATGTAAAATTCTGTCTCTTATGAGAGAGAATGACCAAAACTCAAGAGAGAGAGGGTGTGTTTTTGGTTGTTGTGTTGTGTTGTGTTGTGTTGAGAGGTGGTGAGGGTAATGTGAAGGCCTTGAAAATATTTACAATATTTTTAGTTTCACATGTCTTTGTATTAAAATAAACATACAGAATGAGAATGGAAATGTTGAGGATGAGATAATTAAAAAAGACCAGGTGAGATCTAGATGATTTTTCTGCCCATCAGTAGCAAGAACATTTAATGAACATGTCAACATATAGTTAAAGAATAATTTAGTGAACATTTTAATCTTTTTACCGTGTTTTTCAAGAAAAATTGTTCAACTGGTGTGAGCTAACCGTTGGGTGGAAAAGTGATGTTTCCATGTTTCCTTTTTTCCTGTCCACATTTAGATTTCTTGTTTACTGGGCCAGATTGAGTTGGAAGGTCGAAGACCTCCACTGATGGCATCTGGCAAATCACTGCCATGTTTCCAGCCTTATGATTTTTCCCCTAGTTCAGGAGGATTTGTGACTGGCAGATTTCTCACTGGGATCAAACCTTCTGTAAGTTTAACACTGCTTGTGCTTGTACTGAAGCTTATTTAAATCTTGGTACTTTAATACAGAGTGTCTGTGATTATAGATATATCAGCTTTATTCACCCTACTTTCATATGTAGCTTTTGAGAAAGAGCGTGAATTGCCAGTCTTGGTGTACTTCTCAGCAGAATGCTTATAGTACTGTGCTTATGTTTAGGAATTCTTCTTTCACTGCATGGCTGGCAGGGAAGGTCTTGTGGATACAGCTGTCAAAACCAGCCGTTCTGGATACCTACAAAGGTAAGAGGCTTGTTTTAGAATTTGAGCCTTTAAAAGGTCCTTTTGGTTGATTGGTTGGGTGTTTTTTTGTAGAGTATGCCTGTATTGGTTAGATTAACTTCAGTGTACCTCCTTTTTAGAAAAGTGTTTACTCTGAGTGTTGAATGTTTGTTCTAAGGCCAACTTTCTAGAGGACTGGATCAAGTGGAACTTGATATCATCTCTCACTTATCTTTGGCACATAGCAGCAGCAACGAGAAATCTTTTTTCCTGGTACAAGTAAAGGTGTACAAATTCCAGACAACTCTAGTTTTTCTTGGCTATGTTGTGTGGCCTTCATCTCTGTTCAAGCATCACCTCTAGTATGTAGAAGAAGATGGACCACCTTCAGAATGTAGAAGAAGGTGGAACTTTTTAATTGTTTCAGAGGGTAGAGAGGGGTTCTAAAGGAGGGGTGCCCCCTTCTTCAATGTGTGCTTGCAGCCCAGAAAGCCAACTGTATCCTGAGCTGCATCAAAAGAAGCATGGCTGGCAGGTCGAGGGAGGGGATTCTGCCCCTCTGCTCTGGTCCCAAGAGACCCCGCCTGCAGTACTGCCTTCAGCTCTGGGGCCCTCAATGTAAGAAGGATATTGAGCTCTTGGAGCAGGCCCAGAGGAGGGCCATAAAGATGATCCGAGGGCTCGAGCTCCTCTCCCATAAAGACAGGCTGAGAGAGTTGGATTTGTTCAGCCTGGAGAAGAGAAGGCTCTGGGGAGACCTTCTAGCAGCCTTCCAGTACCTAAAAAGGCCCTACAAAAAAGCTGGAGAGAGACATTTTGACAAGGGTGTGTAGTGGTAGGACAAGGGGCAATGGCTTTAAACTGAAAGAGGGGAGATTTACATATAGATACAAGGAAGAAATTTTTCCCTCTGAGAGTGGTGAAACACTGGAAGAGGTTGCCCAGAGAAGTTGTGGATGCTCCATCCCTGGAAGTGTTCAAGGCCAGGTTTGATGAGACTTTGAGCAACCTGGTGTAGTGGAGGACGTCCCTGCCCATGGCAGGGGGTTGGAACTGGATCACCTTTAAGGTCCCTTCCAACTCAAACCATTCTGTGATTCTTTCAGACAGCTGTTGGAGAGTGACAGCAGAAATAGAGAGTAATTTGCAATTTAATTTTAAGTCACTCCAGTCTAAGGAAAAACTGGAGGGAGCAAAATGAAGAAAGCTTTGCAATATCATTACACATTTCACGTGTGTGTTGTGTCTGTATGATTTTTGACATCTAGAATTCCTCATCAGCCCTTAAGTGCCCTTAGGATATTAATGAAAACAGTGTTTTTCATGTTAGAGTTATATCATCCTTGTTTCTTTGTAGCCTCTTAACAGTGTGTTGGTTTTTTTTTTCTTTTTTTCTTTGGAACAGGTGTATCATAAAACATTTGGAAGGACTGGTAGTTCAGTATGACCTGACTGTACGAGATAGTGATGGCAGTGTGGTGCAGTTTCTGTATGGAGAAGATGGACTTGATATTCCTAAAACTCAGTTCTTACAACCCGAGCAGTTTCCTTTCATTGCAGAAAACTATGAGGTAGAACAGTTGAATCTTAAGTATTTATGTGGGGTAAAAGGGAAGACTGAAATGCATGGTTAACACCTGGCATATCTGTTAGGGATCTAGTGGCATAGTTGTTTCTCTCAGTCACTCTCAGACTAACCTACATTTTTATTTGCTGTAATATTCAAGATATGGAAGCGAATCTTAAGTCTGTGGCATGATTTAAGCAGTTTCAGCAGAGCACCAGGCACTCTTTCTATTCTTCTATTCTACATCTGCAGTTGGATTCAACACTTTGCTGTTGAATGTCTCTCAAGATGACTTTACTGTTCAGTCTCTGAAGTTTGATAACTTCCTTTTACCAGTATCATCATGGGTTACTAGAGAATGGTGCTAGTCACACAAAAACATGAAGAGTTCAACCTCAGCTGGGTTGAAAACAAATTTTGAAAATTGTTTTACAGCAGCTGAACATTTTGAGTAGCAGCAGACGACCTTTTCAGTTTGCTTTGCCTTGTCTGCTACAGTGAGCATAGAGAGAAGAATAATCAGAGATAACTTTCTTACAGGTAATCCAGAAGACAAACCATCTGGATGAAGCTTTAGCAAGGATGGAGTCTCACCAAGCTAACCAGCAGTTCAGAGCCATCAAAAAGTGGCGAGCCAGGCACCAAAACTCTGTGCAAAGAGAAGGAGGTTTTCTGATGTTTTCTAAAAAGAAAATGGCAAGTGTAAAAGCACAGATTCCAGGAGGAGAAATCAAAAATGGAAGAGATCCTGCTACTTTGCAGGTAACACAGAAGCAGTTGAATTGAGTGAGTGCTTTACAAAGTTGCAGAATTCAGTGATTTTTTTTTTAATGGCTTTTTATAGAATTATGGGATCATTTAGGATGGAAAAGACCTTGAAGATCAAGTCCAACCATAAACTTAACACTGTCAAGTCTGCCACTAAACTATGTCCCTAAGCACCACATCTACATGTTTTCTAAATACCACCAGGGATGGTGACTCCACTGCTTCCCTGGGCAGCCTGGTCCAATGCTTGACAGACCTTTTGGTGAAGACTTTTTTCCTAATATCCAATCTAAACCTCCCCTGGCACAACTTGAGGCCGCTTCTTCTTGTCCTACTGCTTATTACTTGGGAGAAGAGACCAACACCCACCTCACTACAACCTCCTTACAGGTAGTTGCAGGGAGAGATAAAGTCTCCCCTCAGCCTCCTTTTTTCCAGGCTAAACAACCCCAGTTCCCTCAACTGCTCCACATAAGACTTGTGCTCCAGACCCTTCACCAGCTTTTTTTCCCTTCTCTGGACACTCTCCAGCACTTCAATGTCTTTCTTGTAGTGAGGGGCCCAAAACTGAACGCAGTGTTTGAGGTGAGGCCTCACCAGTGCCAAGTACAGGGGGACCATCACTTCCCTAGTCCTGCTGGCTACATCATTTCTGATACAAACCAGGACACTCTTGGACTTCTTGGCTGCCTAGACCAAGTGTCATGAAGTGTTCTAAGTTGAAGATGTTGAGATACGTAACTCTGTGAACTTGTCTGCAAATGTTGTCCCTAATCACTGCTTCATTAATCACTGCTTCATTTATTCAGCTATGCTGAAATTGTGCTGTTGACACTTTTGATAATGTTCAAAACAATTTGGTCTGGGGATTCATTCACTGTTTGTTCTTTTTTTTTTTCATTAGATAGGTAGATATAGATACATGTTTATCTCTGTCTCGGTATATTATAAAGCTCAGTGAACAGACTTCCATGTCACAAGCTAATTCCTCCTTCATAAAACAGCAAGGCATGTAAAAGATAAACTTAGCTCATTTTCTGTATTGATTTTTTTTTTTTAAGTAGGTATTAACTTTTTCCTTTATTAAATGCAACATATGAAATGTTACTTGAAAGACTAGCAAATGAAGAATAGAAGTAAAACCATTTAGCATCCATAAGATGCAAGCTATGTTTAAGGTCTGTGCTGGGCTTGAATGTCAACAGCTGAAAATCAGAGAAGCTCCTTTGTTGTGCCAGCTTTAGGCAGGCGAGGTGGTAGTCAGCTAAAAGTAAAGATTTTGGAATGTTGAGGGGTTCACTCCCAAGTGAAAATCATTCTTAGAGGGCTGTATGTCACTGGTTTCTGGAGTAGTTACTACGGGTAGATAACTGATTATTTCAAGCTTGTAAAGAACCTTGAAATCATTCAGGGTCAAAAGTCTAAGTATCAGAAAATGGAGAACACCATATTTGTAGCTGAGTTGTTTGCTGTATATTACATATATTACATATACATTAAGTTTTGCATAGGTAATCTTTTCCTCCTTCTCTATTGCTTGATTGCTGCGTTATTTAGTTCTGGTTTTGCTGCGAATAAACCAGCCTGCTTAAAAATCCCCTCTTGTTTTCAGTTATTGAAGATGTGGTATGAGCTAGATGAGAAGAAACGAAGAAAGTATCTGAAGAAGACAAATAAGTGTCCTGACCCAAGCCTTGGTGTTTGGCGTCCGGATACTTATTTTGCATCTGTTTCCGAAACGTTTGAAAATGGACTCGAAGATTATATCAACAAATGGGAATCTGAGAACATACGAAGTTATAGGCGTCCAACACTTTCTTCTGATAGGTAGTAACTTCTCTGTCTTTGCTTCTTTGCACTGAGGCAAAAAAAAATTAGCTATTTTTAGACTGAGATTGCTAAAGATGAAAAAGTCTGTATCAACTCTGTTTTTTTGTTGTGACCTTTGTGAAACAAAGTAGTGAGTTTCAAGATGGTTCCTGAAAACTGTGCTTAGTGTGCAGTGGAGAGGCCCTGGTTATCTGTTTTTTCCAAACCTGAATTTTCCATACTTCTAAGGCCTTTGCCAAAGGCTTTGTGGAATACCAGCAGTGTATTGATGTTCCCCTACATGTAAAATAATACCTTACAGTAACAGTTAGAACCAGAACATGCTCTTGCCACACCTTGGAGTTAGTGAGGCAGTTAAGATGAGCAAGTAAGAGTAAATGGACTCTTTTGACATTCTGGGAATTAGCAGCAGAAGTAAAATATGGTTTGGCCAAGGCTCCAGTTCTGCATTAATGGGCTGTGTTTGTCAGATGAGATTGGGATAGACAATTTTACAGTTTCTGGAGTGTATTCATAAGCTTCCAGGAGAAATTGGCTGAAAGACGTAACTTTATTGAACTGAGCAATGTTTCAGTCTCTTCCAAGTTCTTTATTTTGTACTATGTTGAGCTAAACCTCTTATTTCCTGTCTTCAGATTAAAGGATTTGTTGTATTTAAAGTGGCAGCGATCTCTTTGTGACCCAGGAGAAGCTGTGGGTCTTCTTGCAGCTCAGAGTATTGGGGAACCTTCCACACAAATGACTCTGAACACCTTCCACTTTGCTGGCAGAGGTGAAATGAATGTCACATTGGGTATTCCAAGGTGAGAAAACTGTTCTCAATGGGTCCTTTGCCGGTTTTGGCACTTGTGTAATAGTGCTTAATCTCACTGGCAGGCATATTTGAGAGCAAATAATGTTTCAGTTTAATTATAAATTATGCCTGCTCAGAACTGTCTTAACATTTTACAATTTTATGGATATTTTTGTTCATTTTCCAGATACAAAATATCTGTGAATGCACTTTACTCTTATCTGACGTATAGCAAATAGTTTATTTGTTTCTGTATTTTATTCAGTACAGCATAAGCCCAAAGAAACAGTGTTTTGTTGGTTTGCCCTCTGCCAATATCCTTCCTCCTCCTAACTTTTAAACCTGTTTCTTTCACACACAATGGCAGTGGCAACTCTGAAATCTGATATGTTTAGTATTATTATCACCAACGTAAAAAGAGCCCTGTCTTAGACCTGCCAGGTTTTCCCTGGCTCTTCAGTTTGGTGACAGTGACTTTACCGGTGTACACGTGTGTACCAGCCAGTCATGAGCTTGTTCTGAATGACATGGGTGCTGACCCTGGCCTCGTGTGTGGGTGTGATGCCTTAGGTGAGAGATGGTTGTATTACTTCAGAGAAGCAGAGGAGGAGGAGAAAGTTAAGAGGAGCATACATTATGCATCTGTAGTAAACAGTCTTCGTTAGTTCTTCTGTTCTTTGAACAACTTATTATCATCTCTAGTCTCTTCCCATAACTGAGGTGATAATCAAATTAAGGCAGTAGAGCTACTGTTGTGCTGTGCCTCATGAGGAACCAGAAAGAAGCACGGCGATGATAACCACAGCTCTCAATGCATATGGCTTTGGTGGAACTGGCAGTTCCTACATGCCGCCTGATTAAATGAACTAGGTACTTATTTGATTGCATAGTGCTTTTATTGCTAATTTGAGAGATCATTCTTTATTTAAAGGTTGCGGGAAATATTGATGGTGGCCAGTGCAAATATTAAAACGCCAACGATGAGTGTTCCTGTGTTCAATACCAAGAAAGCTCTCAAGAAGGTGAAACAGCTTAAGAAACAGCTCACCAGAGTGTGCTTAGCTGAGGTGAGCCTTCTGTTCAGTGTGTCCTTTGAGAGTCTGCAAAACAAGATTTCCTATTTGAGCTCATCAGTTACTCTGGCTTTGTAATAGTTTCCATTTTTGAAGGTTTACCTGTGGGCGCAAGATGAGAGGATCCTTTCTTTTCACCTCTTGCATACTGAACCTGTAATATCTCCTAGGAAGTGGAGCATTGAAAGGAATTGCAGTTACTGTGGCTGTATGAGACTTAAATTCAATCTAACCTGTAGAGCATTGTTGCAGGCTACAAACTCTCTACAGGCTGTAAATGGGGAGGGTAGTAGTTCATACATAGCAGTAGTATAATGGCAGGGAGGATTTATGTTTGCTGCCATAGCCTTGGTTGGTTCTTTCCCAGGCTTGTTTTTGTCCTAGAATTGGAGGGGTTTTGTTTTGTCTTTAAGGACAAGCTAATCTGGCTGTGACTGGCATTGCAGAGACGTTTTTGTTTGTCCCCCACCCCTTCCTAGTCTCATACAAGTGGCTGTGCTCAATAGAAGCAAAACATTGGCTCCTTGGAGACTGAATACACTGAAATCTGATGAGGCTGATGTATTCTGTGCTCCCCCTCTTCCTAGGAGTGTGGTCTTTCCTGTGCTCTTCTGCATGTTCTTCCCTCTTCTGTCTTACTCTTTCAGGTTGAAAGCAGCAAGGATAGAGTTAAGACTCAGCTCTGTCCTGAAATACTGTCATGCTCAATGAGCACGAGTCAGTAAAATGAAGCTGTTGGCCCACTAAGAAGTGTGGTCTTTTGTGAAGGAGTCTGGTGGGAGGTGAGGCCTCTCCCTATATTGTCCAAGCAAGGCCTCTCCCCATATTGTCCAAGTTAATTGCTGGGAGGAGTTTAAGATAAAGAGTGCAGTAGGGTAGAGTCCTCTTGCTCAAATGCTGCCACAAAGCCTCCAGAGAAGTTTGCCAGATAGCCTTGTGTAATTCCAGTCTCATATGGAAAACATTGGAGTTGCAGGAAGTATATGAAGTGTCTTCATCAAAGCAGTAACGTTCCTACTTAACGGTTTTTGTAGGTCTTGCAGAAGGTTGAGATAGAAGATTCCCTGCGTGTGAAGTGCAAGCAGAACAAACATCGCCTCTACAAAATCAAATTCCATTTCTTGCCCCATGAATACTACCGAGAGGAGAAGTGTGTGAAGCCCAGGGAGATCTTGCACTTCATGGAAACACGGTGAGTTTGCTTTCAGGTACTTCAATATTTGCTCTTCTTTTGCATTTCCATGGGCTCTGAGGGTCACTGCATGTTGTTTACCGTTGCTGTGGCTTTCCAAGCAACAGCTGCCTGCAGATGTGCTTGCAGAAGCGTCTAGGCAGTTGCTTTTTATGTCTTGAATAAAACTGGATCTGTGGCTTGGTGACAGTGCAGAATTGTATCAAGGCAGATCTTTCACATGTCTCTGATACACTCGGAGAAGAGCCATATAAGCAACATCTCATTCTTTACCTTTGGATGCTTAAGCATTTATTACCTGTAAAAAGTGTTTGAATACTTTAGGTGTCTCTTGGTGTTCTCACTGAACAGAACTAAACCTTAATATTTTTTATTAGTTTTTTAAAATAAATAAATCAGAAAAGGATGGCACTTTTTTTCCCATTTACTTTTTCCCATGCATCCTTTCCCATGTCTGGCTGAATTTGTGTAGTTAGAAGTAGAACATTTAATGATAAAGGTCTATTGAAAGCTATTTTTTGTTTTGCAAAAAGGCTTCATTGATTTCTTCTTCCTTCAGGCCACATGAGTTCAAGCTGGGTTAATTTATGTAACAATTTCACATGTGCTCGTTGGTTTAAAAAAGAAAAAAGTCCAGTAGTAAACAGTGTCTTCTGGATGTCAATTTGATGTGTAGATTTTATGTCCAGATGAACTTACAATTTTAAGCTTTGGTTGCACGGCTGCATCTGTGATTGCAAGAGATGATTCCAACCTTTTGATTCCTAAAGGAATGGGAAAGGGGCAAGAAAAATTATTTACCTTATCTTAGGAGTATTTTTGCATCCACCAGAGAATATGTTCTGTCATGAGTCAATTGGCTTCTTAAACAAATTAACTTTCTGACAACTTCAGATTGACTGCAGTGATGCTGAGCTTTGACATACTGGGTTGCTGCTTCTTTCAGATTCTTTAAAATTTTTCTGGAGGCAATTAAAAGGAAGAGTGCAAAGATGGCATCTTTTACTGAAGTCAGCACCCGGAAGGCAACTCGGAAAGATTTAGATGGTGACCAAGACAAGGTACAGAGAAACGTTACCTGAAAAATGCCTCCCTTCCTTTACCTGTTTTTGGCAACTAGAATTTGGAAAAGCATAGCATGTTTCAGTGTGAACACGAAATGTGTGAATACTAAATTAATTCTTAAATATTTTCTTTATGTATTTATGCATTCTTAGAAAATTAACAAGGAAATTCAAGTTATTGTGTATTAATCCTAATTTCCTTAAGACTGTACTCTGAAAATGCCTATTGATTTTAGCTTTGGTGAGATAAAAGCACATTACTTTCCATTTGCTCCCAGATCAGTGTCCTGTTGTAACAGTGGCTGTCAAAACTTTGAGGAAGATTGTTTTTTCATTGAAAACCTTTTGCATGTTCCTTCTCCACTCCTCTTCCATCAAGAACTGTCATATAAGCAGGCTGATGGCTTATCTGTTTTGTAGACATTCATCTTGTTTAATGTTAAAGTTATCATGAGTGTAAGTTCATTATTTCTTTATAGTAGTGGGCTTATAGAAATGAATTTGTCCATAAAGGTAGTGCGTTGAACAAGGGATAATTAAATTCCAAACATTTGGCTAAAGCCTTTTGGTGCAGTTAATGCTTCCTAGCAGTCGGTCTGATTATCTGGTCTGTCATGGATTTCTAGACCCAGAATAACCAGGAAACTCCAGCAGAGGAAGAAGAGAACATTGTTGATGCAGAAGCTGATGAAGGGGATGGTGATGCTACAGAAGCAAAACGGAGGAAGAACCAGGAAGAAGAGGTAATGATTTTATAGATGCTCAGCACTGCACTTTAATTCCCAGTTTCCTCTGCTTCGATTTGATTTGGGAAGGAAAACTGCCATTGAAACAAATTGTTTAAAAAAAAATAAAAATTGAAAGGGGATAGGAAAGTCTCTGTTCGTGCTGATCAGTTTTGATTCAGATGGGGAGGAAATCTACAGCACTTGTGATGACCGTGGTCATCATCGTTGAGCCCCGTCCCCGCTCTCCTTTAAGAGTAGTACAGAACCATGCAAGTTAGAGATGGAAGAGATCTGCACTTTTCCAAAGCCTCGTTCTTCAGCCATTGGGTAGATGTGTCTGGCAATCGGGCTGTCTGTGCTGTAGTTTGCTTTAACTTTACCTCTTGCTAATTTCATGCCATTAGTTGTTTTTAAAACTTTACTGTGGTACTTAATAAATGCTGTCCCTGGCTCTGCATGTATTTCCAAGTTCACTACCTCAAAATTATTACGTAAAAGATGGGTTTCCATAATTTCAGCAAGAGGGCAGAGTAATTTAAAATCCTGAGGGAATCTCTTCATCAGAGCTGGATTATGGGAAGAGCCTTTTTGAGGGGGAAAAACCAAGTTCTACTACAGTCACAATAACCTGTAGCATCCCTGACTGTACTGAGGAATAATGGCAAGACTATAAAGAAATGGAGACTGAATTGAATCTGTTGTATTATTTTCTGTATAACAGAGTTGCATTTTCATTGTGTCATAGGCAAGATACTTGCAGCTCAGCTGTCAAGAATATTAACTAATAAAACTTTGTGATGCGCTTTGTTTCTGTACATGTTCTGGCTCAGATAAGGACAATGTAATTTCTTTGCAGGTTGATTATGAGAGTGAAGAAGAAAACGGGGAAGAAAATGGTGATGAGAATCTAGAAGATGAAGAGGCTGAATCGGAAAAAGAAGAAAGGACTCCCAATGCTGAAGAAGATCAGAATGGAGCAGATGGTGATGATTCTCAACATCTTTCCTTTATGTCTCAAACTAAAAAAGAGAAAGATCGATTACTTCAGCCAGCAGAGTTGCGAGTAAATGCTGTTCTGGACAGCCACCCATCAATACAGGATTATACATATGACACCAAAAATGAACTTTGGTGTGAGGTAAGACAGTAGTGCCTGGAAACATCAGTGTGTGGTTGTGCAATGGTTGCTATTGCTCACCAGCCTGGGCTGCAGCTCCAAGGATGTCATTGCATCTTCCACAGCCACGAGGAAATGGCCTGCCTTTTGTAGGCAGGGTCTAAACCTTAGTTAATTAGTTAATTACATTCAGTTCAAGCCAGCTGGGTAATAATAATTGGATGCCATAGGTTGCACATAGCTCCCATAACAAATGGATCTTTTCAGTGGAGTGCTGCTGTTTCGTCTCGGCGATCCTGTATTAATACAGAAAAGTGGCAGGACAAATGTACTTCTTGACATAGCTTTTAGTAACCTCTAACTTTCAGAATACCTGATGAAACTTCTTTTTAAAAACAGGTTTTTGGCAGGTTTATTGAGGTTTAATCTTAAATATTTGATGCATCACTGTGTAGTTCTTGATGAATAAAAGTGATGGCTGGACTGTTGAAAAAGTCTAAATAACTTAAAAAAACAAACAAACCAACAAATGCATACCCCACGCCCCCCAAAAAGTCACCCAAAAAACAACAATCAGTGTAAGTTCAGTGATCTTGAAAGCAATGTGGATGGATGGTCCTAGGATGAGATGTTCTTGTCAGCATCATTCAGCTGTAATTCTAGTCAGGCGTTTATGTTCCTAAACACACAACTAGGGTAATCCAGGTTGTCTGCTTTTTGCCTGAAAAGTAGGCTGGTTATTGAGCCCGATGTTCAGGCTTTTCTCCAGAACAACACTGCATTGTTTTTTTTCCTCTCAGGTTTCACTGACGCTTCCATTGATGAAGGTGTACTTCGATCTCTCCTCCTTGCTTGCCTCTCTCGCACGAAGCACGGTCATTCATGAAGTGAAGGGAATCACACGATGCTTGTTGAATGAAAGTACCAACAAGAAAGGAGAGAAGGAACTCATTCTGCATACTGAAGGGATAAACCTTGCAGAGCTGTTCAGATACTCTGATGTATGTAATGTATTTATAATCCCAAACTTGAGTTGTCTTTTGTATTCTAGAGAGAGATGATGGATGTGTGGTGCCATTTATATTTATCAGGGGTGATGTGTAGCCGTTTCAGCTCTTAAACTCTCTTCTGCCTCCTTTTTCCCCCCAGATATCTTCAGAGCTCAGTAGAGCCTTTTCTCAAGGGCAGCTTGTAAATCAGTTTTTGTGCAGCAGCCCAGTGTTTAATGACAGATAATTCCACACCGTGCTTGTAACTGTCTCTTTAAATGTTGCTTGAGGGAGTTCTTCCATCTTAAATGAATTGCAGTACTTGGAGATGAATAGTTCTGTAATGCCATCTAGCCCATAACTCTACAAATAGAGGATTGTTTTATGCTACATCATCTTTACTGCTTTTGCTACAAGTTCTGGCTGGCTGAGACAAACAGGGCATTGCGTTATATTGCTTGGAAGACTTAAAACATGTTCCTCTGCTGCTTGGGACGGTTTGGGTTTTTGTTTGCTTTTTCTAATTTCAGATAATTTTCTCCTGTGGTGAGTTTTGATTCCAGTACTTTCATTCGCATCTGTAAAAGGCTGTGATCACTAGCTTAAACATAAATCCGCCGAGTAATTTTTGTCTGTATTTGACTCTGTCTGAGCTGCTGCCTAGTTGTTCTGTAACTGTTAGTGCTGCTTAAGCTAATGAAAAATGGAGGGGAAAAAAAATAAATCTTGGCTTAAGTTATTTGGAAATACACCTGCTGTCTTAACTTGTATCTGTGGCTTTTTTACTTTCAGATTTTGGACCTGAACAGACTTTATTCCAATGATATTCATGCCATGGCAAAGAATTATGGTATTGAGTCTGCCCTCAGAGTGATTATAAAAGAAATAAAAGATGTATTTGCCGTATATGGTAAAATTTATTTGTATTTTTAAAACCAGACTTTATTATTATTAAGATGGGAAAACCCAGCCACAGAGCTTACAAAGTTATGTCTTTGTATCATCTTTTCATTTATGTGTGTATTTTTAAGTTGCAGTTTTTCCATTATTTTAACTGTTATAATACTTTCTGTGAAGACTTTGTTAGTTAATTATTAGGTTCCATTTAATCAGTAGAAAATGGACTAGACAAGGTTGAGTTTATGCCCCCTTCACAGAGCTTTTCTATTCTGGTGTATTTATTTTCTGCAAGCTAGAAGGTCCAGATGAGTTAACTATTAACATCTGAGGAACCTAACTATGTTAAACTTGCGTAGTGGCCCTGAGAAAGGATTAATCTTGCTTCACTCTAGCTTTTTAATGATGGCAGTCCAGGCTCCCTTCGTAGTTGAGTTTATATCTTTCCTAAAATAGCTGTGCTGCATTGTCCGAACGTTATTCTCTTTTCCTAGATTATTCAGAGTCCAGGCACCTAGCTTAGGGAAGATGTCTGACTTCGTAGGCTGCTCAAGTTAGGCATGTTGAATTTGCCTTAAGTGAGCTAAGTCTTGCTATGAATTAAACTATTGAAAAGAGGGAAGATTAATACAGTGGGAATTTCAGCAACCAGTTACATTGAATAGAATTGCCAGCTGGCAGCCCAGAATGTTCTGACCTTCAAGTTGTTCAAGAACTGCTAGGTAAATGTTGACAGAGCTGTTAATGATCCCCCATTACACTGACTCCACAAGCATTATTTAAAAATAAGTGCTGTTTCTTTTTAGACTAAATGAGGTTTTCTGTGGATGCCTGACATCATGCACAGAAAATAGCAGAACCTTTCTGACTCCGGTGCCCAGCTAATGCAGGCCACCAGGTGAGGGGCCACACCTGTGTCCCATCACACGCGGATGAATGCGTGATCTCCTTCTGCATCAACAAGGATGATGCAGACCTTACTCATTTTGTGTGAAGGAACTCGGCCACCTTACAGCATTCTTGACATTTTAGTTTCCCTGGAGAGATATTGGTTTATATTACAGTGAGGTCTGCCTCTCTTGGATATTTGAGGGGGAGCAGTTAAGCCAGCTACACACAAAGAGGTGCAACTGCCACAAGAACGTTAATAGGGATGTTCTCCATGTTGATTAGTTTCAGGGGGGTTAATTTAGACCTGATTTATTAAAAAAAAAGAAAAAAAAAACAACAAAAAAACATGAGCCCTTGAATGCTCCGATGATTGTTCTTTCTTGTGCTCTTAGGCATTGTGGTAGACCCTCGGCACCTTTCACTTGTGGCAGATTACATGTGTTTCGAAGGATTTTACAAACCGCTGAATCGCTTTGGAATTCAGTCCAACTCCTCCCCTCTGCAACAGATGACATTTGAAACCAGCTACAAATTCTTGAAGGAAGCAACAATGATGGGTAAATGGTTTAGTTTGAACTATATTGCTGCAGCATTTCACATATGCTTCGTTTCCATCATAGCTTTCCACTGGTTTTGAGTAATCCATAATTGCATTAGAAAAAAATGCCAGAGGCTAAAATTTTAATTAAGCCCTTGCCAAGGAAAATGTTCCAGATGTTTTTAATAAAATGTTGTCATCTTAAATGAAGTCAGCTCCCACATGTAATTTGTGGGCTCTGTGACTTCTTTCTTTAAGAACTAGATAGGCTTTTTTATAACAAACCTTAAGATTGTTAAAGATTTGTTACAGCAAAGCCTTATGACAGACTGCTAAATCTGCATTTTTCTGTCTCTGCCATTAAAATGGTCATCTCTGCTTTGTTTTCATGTCTCTATTATAACTCTGATATTTTTATCTCTTTTTTAACCTTACTGTGAACAATTTTATTGTGAGAACAGTCCTCCTGGTTGTTATGTTGATTCTGTTTTTCTTCTGCTTTGTAGCACTTTACTATCTTTGCTTTTTTCCTCAAAACCAGAAAAAGGGTCAGATTCACTTATCTAACGAGAGGTTTCTAGTGCCATTTGAGATGCCCAAGAGCATCCTTTCTGCCCTCTAGTTGCTGCTCTGGGAGATGTAGCGATTGCATGGCTGTGTGGATCATTTAGGATATTTGAAATGGCACTAGCCATCTCCATTTATGAATCCTATCCAAAAAACTTGTGCTTTAAGTCTGTCATTAGACAGTTTGTGTGTTCTCGTGCTTTGCATACTAATTACGTCTCCCTTTTGCAAATAGCCTGTGGTTTCTGTCACTCGCCAGTTGGATGCCCTCCTTTTTGGATGCCCCTGTGCTGCCTTATTTGCTACCTCTTAAAAATGGGAAAAGCTCTCAGCATAATCCCTTCAGCTAGTATCCTAAACTGCCTTGCACAAATGTCAGAGATGCTGTTTTCCTTTTTCTTATGCTGAATTCCTTTTTCTTAATGCTGTTTTATACCTTTTCTGGAAAGGTAATTTGGGGTTTAATGAATAGTATTGGTTACAATTGACTTAAAATTCATCTGAAAATCAGAAAGAAAAAGTGTAAATCTGGGGTGAAATTGAGTAGAAGAGGATGTTTCCCACACAGTTGCGCTCTCTCCCTGGATGTACATTATATCACGTCTTGCCTTGGAAATAAGATAAGGTTTTTGCCAAGTGAAACATAATTATATTTATGGATAATGTTAGGAATAAAGTCACGAAGCGCATACTGACAGAAGGGCACGGTGAATTGGCAGGAGAGCTACACTGATTACAAGTGGCAGGAGTTACTGATTTCACCAAGATGGAAATCAAAGTCATAATGTGGCTTCCAGCAGTCTGGATCTAATTTGCTTTAACGTAACTGATAACTTGACTGTACGTTTAAATGCTGCGAGGGTGCCCGTTCATGGCCCTGATTAATAAGAAGTGAAAAGGAAGGCCACTGTGCACAGCTAACGTAGGAAGTGCCATTGGAGCGCCGGTGCGACCCAGCAGGCCGCTGATCAGGGTTTAGCATGCAGAGAGCACACTGCATCAGAAGTGAGATCCCTTTGGCTGCCTGCTCGAAGAATAACTCCTTTTTAATGTCATATGAGGAAACAGGACAGTTATGACTGTTTCGTTGAATGACCTAACAAAGAAGCTTTTTTTGTCTTCAGCTGACACACATTTAGGAGCAGCTATTTAATTATTCAGCTGTAGCTGAGGTCGGAGCTGCAAGCACATGCCATACACTGTGCTGTGGTGGAACTCCTCCCTCATCCTCTGTATGACAGAAAGTTCAGTACGTTTTCCTCAGCAGAATGAAGATGACCCAAACTTACCAAAAGTTTTAACAATTTTATTTCCAATCTTCCAACTGCTCTAATGACAAAATTCCAGCTTGCTGTGGTTAGGGTAAATGAAAAACAGCCTGGATGCTTATAAAAACAGTGAAAGCAAAACGGTCCTAGCCAGACATGTCATCTGGAGAGCTTCCAAATTTCTGTGACACTATTTCGCTACACTGAGTAACCACAAAATCAAAGGAATTCATGGAATGTCTCTCCAGTGAAAAGTTCTCTTCATATCTAGCCAGAAGGATTTAAAATCCACATCAGAAGGATTCAGTCTAACAAAGGAAAAAGGCAGCAATGAAAAGGGAATCTTTTTGGGTTTGCCTCACTGATATATTTTTTTAACAGTCTATTTAATCAGCAAAATGTGTGCACTGGAAGGTCAAATCTCTGTTCTCTTGGAATTCAAATGTGTTGTCTTTTTATGCTGAATAGTGAGGGTTTAGTAATGTGTGACTGAATTCTCGGCTTGCACAAAAAGCTTGGGAAGAGGTAGTAGTGGTTGTAGGAGGGCTAGGAAGAGTTTTGAACTCCTACTCTCAAAATACAAACACAGTCTGAACTGTAGGTGGCAGTGCCTTTCTGAAACCGGAGGCGTGTTGAACCAGGTAACTTCTTGCATGTAAACCAAAATGCTTTCCTATCAGCACGGACTTTTGAGAAGCCTTTGGAAACAGCCTAATATGATTTTGTTTCAATTCTGTTATAGGTGCCTATGATGAACTGCGGTCCCCTTCTGCATGCCTAGTGGTTGGAAAAGTTGTTAAAGGAGGGACTGGTTTGTTTGACCTCAAGCAACCCCTCGCATAGTGTTTTGGTTATGGCTGAAGGACTACAATGTTCATCATAAGAGACGTGTATGCTCTACAGCTATGCAACGAGGGCACATACTGTGTCCCCAGTCATCTTCCCTGTGCCAGTAGGATTGTTAATCTGGATACCTGATGAACCTAATCTATTTAATGAGAATGTCTGCACCTGTAGGAGCCATCCTTTGATCCAAAGAAACATTTATTTACTGTTCATTAATGTAAAGAATGAGATTATTGGCTTACACAGAAAAATAATAAAATGAAGGAGACCATCTGGGTCTCAAACAAGCTGTGCAGCAGCTGTGGCAGACAGAAGTCAAAGCAGAATCTGTTCATGCTGTCGAATTTTTGTGGGGCAGAATTCCCATCTGGGTGGGTAGTGGCCGTTGCCACATGGTTGTTGCATAGCAATTTTCCAGTATTGGAAGTAGCATTCAGACTCACAGGTATAGCTGGCCAGTGGTGTCCTGATGCTTCAACATTGCATTGAAGTGTCTGTGCTTGAGGCATATCCGCTTCTCTTGGTGTACTTGCATGCACTGTCGTGACTTTTATAAGCTTTAGGGAATGCATTTTCCCATTCTGCTACTTCATTTATTAATGTCTGTGACACAGTTGTTAAATTTCTTTATTAGCCAAAGACCTGAATTCAGAGTTTTCATGATTTCTATAGGCATTTTCCAATGCCTGCTCTTACGACTCCTTTGTATGGAACACATCTCTGCACAGTGAGAAACCTGACATTTGATAAAGATTTATTCCTTAAATGGCAATGTGAGCTGCTTTGGTTGTGTCATGGTAATAAATTGTCCTCACACTTACGGAGCCATGAAATACAGGAAAACTTACTAGTCATATATTTTGGCATAATATATCCGCATACAAATTCTGCATATGCGAAATGTGTGTATGCAAATTAGGCTGTGCTGCAGCTGGAAAGAGAGACAGTCTCCTGAGCAAGCTGATGTCCTGTTCTAGGCACCAACTTGCTTTTCTCTTGCTCTCTGAAGCTCCCGAGGCCAGTGTTGTCTGTAGCAATCCTTCTGGCAGGCTTGCTTGCTGCTTCAGTGGTGAGAAGTAGTCCTGCGTGGTGGTGGGGCAGCAGTTAGCCAACATGCTTTAGGGGAGCAAGGGGTGTGGATGCTAAACGAGCAGGGCAGGAAAGTGCCCATAAGTATTACATAGTCTCGTTTGAGAACGTCCTGACATGACTGTCCTTTGCTTTACACCACATTGTATGTCAAATCGCTGTTTCTTGCTCCCTGCAGGATCAGCTGTACAGGAAATGGTGATGAGTTCAGTGGGTGGTTACTCTGTCCTGCTCCCAGGTTATCTAATTCTGGTGATTCTTTAAATAGATCCGTTTCAAAATGTGCTCTGGCTGCAGCAGGATCAGCCAGCCTCCCCTTTATGTTTTGAGTTGCCTTCAAAAATTTAGGCCCAGGCCAGTATCAGAAAAACTGTTCTGATCTGTACTGACAGAACTGACACTGTGGGAAAGCCCCTAACATTACAATTCAGGTCTTACCTAACGTCTGTTTAGAAAAAAAAAAAAGTAGATGGCTGTTCCTGCTCATGGACAAAAGTGATAGGGGAAAGCATATGGCAAGACCTCAGATGAGAGTCCCTGTCTCCAAGGCTGGAGAACTGTGTGTGTTTTGGCATACAGATGGGCTTAGTTTATACTGTGAAGGAGACGCATCTGAAGTAGGAATTGCTCTTAATTCATGGTGTGAGCAGGTTGGCTTGGGAATCATCTAAACTGCCCTTTCTGAGACAAGAGGAGTTTCGGGTTGCTTAAAATTCACAATGCATGCAGAAAATAGAGGTAAAAGAAACGTCCTGTTTCCTGTGGTCAGAAGACTTCTATTTCTTTTCACACACCATGTAGCTCTGTGCTACAAGCTAGATCTTCTATGTTTTAAAGTTTGTTTCCTTGCAACGATTCCTGTCCCTGTACAGTTTGTTTGAGGCTGTGAGCTACCTACCCCCAAACACAGTCTGGGAGAAGGCTACAATAGTGGTTGAGGCTCTTGCTGCCTTTGGAATTATGTAAAACAGACAAATGGAGTCAGTTTTGGCATGAAGGACTCCAAGAGCTGGCAGTAGATGTGATTTCATAGAGAGGAGGAGATAGTGATTGAAGGGCCGGAAGAAAGGGCTAGAAAGCCCCTTTGGAACGTGAGAATGAAGATTTGCAAATATTTAAGTGAGATGGAAACTCATAACTGGAACTTGTTTTTTTTTTTTTCTGTTAACTATCTCATTGCTCTGAATCAGAATTTGATGTGATTTTTTTATTTTTATTTTTTAAAAAAAAAAACTACTGCAGAAACTTCCTGGTTCTCCCAGGTGCAGACCAAGCTCGACTAGTAGGAAGTGCTGAAGAAACACGTGAGCTGGCGCTGAGAACTCTTCATGCGATTTTTGACTGTTCTCTGCAGGATCACTTTCAATGCACGCTAGTTACAAGCCTTCTGCCAAATATCTTTGGCTTTATGACTTCGACAATTGCAAAAAATAATGCAAGACTCATACTAAACGTAGTCAAACCTTGTGGCGATTTCCTCTAGTTTGTGTATGTATGATGTAATTCCATTTGTAGGCGATTTAGAAGTCGGATGCAGTTCTGGCATTGGCCACGCTCTTAATGCTTCTTCCCTGGGAACCATCCGTTCTCGTAACTGTCTGCTGCACCATAGGGTGCCAAGGTACCCTGTGTGAAAACGTGGGAGGAATGAAAGAAGAAAAGGTAGCTCCCAAAACTGCTGGCTTTCTATGTGTTATCTCTGTTAATAATAGCAAACAATCTGTCTGGAAAGCTCAAGGTTCTAAGCTTGACTGAACGTGTGCTGCAGAAGCAGGCTGGTTAGCATATGCAGATATGAAAGCTGAGGGAAGAGGCGTTTTTTAAAGCTGTAACAGAAGGAACTTAAGAGCTACTCAAGCAGAAAGAGAGGCAGTGACCCTGTCAAATCTAAACAGCTTCTGGTCACATGTGCTTTCGCACACAGGGCAGATATTGTGGGTTTCGTCCTGCGTGTACGGTACGAAACACCCACTGGCTCATCCAGATTTGTCACCTGTAAGATGGGGATAACAAACATTTTAATTGCGTTGGTTAATGGTGAATCAGCTTGTATTTGCACAGCAGTTGGAAAGTCAGCTATGTTCAAGCTTAATGAATCGTAACAGAAGGCTTGTTCTTGACAGAAAGCTTGGGGAAAAAAAAATCCTAAGTCAGGCAATGAGAATGGATACAGATAGGAATTAGTGCTTCTTTCACCTCAAAAGCGAAGCTAAATATTAGAAGACAGAGCAGAAAAGTTTGTTTTGCCGGATCCTTGGTTCCCATGTTGTTGTGCTTGTGTAGGTCAGTAACCAAGCAGTGGCAACAACACAGCTCGAAGAGATCTTTAATCATTCAGAGCCTTTCTGGTCAAACCACGTGAAGCTTGCCACAGAGTACTGAAACTTGGAAGCTACCTCAGCTGCTGAGGAGTTTGGCAAGTACACATGCATGTGATGCCTCAGGGACGCTTCACACAAGGTCAGATTGCGGTGCCTTGGCCGTGCTCCTGGGTCTGGCCAGCTGCAGGCGGATCAAGCCAAAGCAAAACCTTTTTCTCCTCTGGGATTAGGTCAGACAGGAGAACTTGTGAACATCGCTCTTAAGATTTGAGATCCAAAAAGCTTTTTGAAGGTTTCAGTGTTGAACACGGCAGTCTTTGTCTTTGGGGTAGACATGGAGGCTAGGGTCTAGGTGCCCACTGTGCAGTAGGTGAGAACGAGCTCTACCTCCCTCAGCTTGCCGCACAGCAGCCCGCTACCCCAGTCAGAAGGGAGCAGTGGAAGCTTTGTGCATCTTCAGTCCCTGCTTTTCCTTGCTGTTTATATAGCACGGTAAACAGCATGGGTGGCGCTTCACCCTGAAGACCCCTGAGTTTTGTTGGGTAGATAAGTGCATAACAACAATATAACTAAAAGAACGCAAATGTGACTTCTTTCAAAGTACGGCCAGGGAGGAGGTGGTGAACCTTGTCCTGTTGTGCCCATAAGCCTGATGTTGAGGGCAGCCACTGAGGACGCAGACCTGCTCTGGGCTCTCTGCAGTGCCCTGAGGGGCTTCAAACCCACCTCCTCAGTGCCCTAACCACCAGTGCAGGGTGACGAAACTTCCGTTTTCCTGCTCTGAAACTCCTTGCTGCTGCTGGAAGTAATGTGGTGTTTACAGGGATGAGGGAGGGAGGAGGTCAGCCTCGTTCCCAGGGGAAGGGAGAGGAAACTAGGGTTTCCTTGGAAGACTTAGAGAAACTTTTCTCCTAGTGTTTGTGCAGCCTCGTCCAGAAGGGCGGAGAGAAATCCTGCCTCAAAACAAGATTGCAGCTGTCTCCCTTTTAGGATTTAAGGTGTTTTCCTGTGATGTCAAAGATAGGGGTTGTAAGTTTCTCAGACAAAAGAGGGTTATGAAGCCCTGTGTTACATATGAGCATTGTAAGCCTCAGGTGAGGCAACCCACCCAGCTCTTCCAGCATTGCCTTTCTCTATCATTTCTGGTTTGCTCCACAGGGCAGTATGGGTTTGGTGAGGCCTGAGGATGCTCCCGGTGGGAGGTGGATGCTGGTAGGGCAATGCCCAAGCCCAGACACTCAGCTGGGGGTGTAGGGGGCTATAACTGGGTGAGAAGTCAAGGTACCTACAGAGCTCTGCTTGCTGCAGGGTCAAGGGGCAGCTAGGCAGGGGTTTTCAGGAATGCAAGGTTGATAAAGGGGGGCATTGTTAGCGCATCCTCCGTGGAGGCCCTCGCTGCTGAGCTGAGCTGTCGACCAGAGCCACCCCAACAGCCTGTTCCCGCTCCTGTTACAGAGCCAGGATTAAGCAAGTTGCTCGTTAATGATGTTTTACAGTTCTCTGGCTCAGATCCCTCAAAAGAGGTGACTGTCTAATTGCCCTGGAAAAGTTCAGGTCTGATCACGGAGCCGATGAGGATGTAGAACTGTTGCTGTTTTCATGGGTGTAGCACGCTCTGCCAGCTTCGGG